TATCGAACAACAGCCAAACACTTGAGATAGAGAGAGAAAGAAAAAGAGAAAAACTCGGTTAATGCATAAGGAAACGGTGACATAAACCTTAATTAAATAGCATACGTAATAAGTTGTTTACAAACAAATCCTAGCTAAGTGCACGAGGTCAGGAAGTATAGTTCACGGAATGCCACGAACACAAAAATGTTATGGAAATCGAATACAATTGGCTGAAGCGATGTGCGCAAGTTAATGGAATAGAGTACAGGGAGATATTTATATGAGAAAGAAAAGCATTAAGGTAAAAACTGTAAACCCGCCACCTGAAATAAAGAGACTTAGCATGCAAGCACGCGGTTAGCAAATCGAATTCAGCGCGCCTACAAACGCTGCGCCGGCTCGTCGTAATTCTCTGCAGGACCCGTCGTCGCTTCTGTAGTGGCCCCAAATGGCACAGCGCATGGCCCACTAGACATTTATATGAGAAAGAAAGGCATTAGGAGAGAACCGAAAACCCACCACCTGAAATAAAGAGACTTAGCATACAAGCACGCGGTTAGTAAATCGAATTCAGCGTGCCTACAAACGCTGCGCCGGTGCTGCCTACGTTCACTGCGGGACCCGTCGTCGCTTCGGCAGTGGTCCCGAGTGACCTCTCTCATGGCTCACTAGGCCTGCCTGACTAAGGCACTCGCGACCGCATGTTCTACAGCACAATGCGCTCGATGTCGATGGAGTACAATTCATCGGTGCTTGCCGCTTCCGCACTTGCCGCTTCTTCTCTGCATGCATGAGGGCTTTCTCCCGCACTTCAGCAACTGCCTTCGTGATTAGATCGCGCCATGCACCACGATCAACCGCCTTCGATTCCCATGATTTTAATCATGCAAACATAGGTTGCTTGTGCAGCCCTTGACTTTGCCATGGACCTGACGAGAAATCGTTTCCTCGAAGCATTATGGACGATCATGTGTTTGAATTTGCTTGATATTCTTACCTATTCTGTTAACCCAAGCTGTTTCATTGCGCATGTTAGTCATGTCGTGAGGTCCGTCACTTGATTAGATCGATTTGAGCGTGGAACGAATGTGCCAGATCTGATCAAACCGTCCCAACCGTTCTGAGTTCTGCCTTCACCAACCTACTCCTGTTTTCATTAGTCTTGTGACCGTAATTGCCTGATGTGTACTACCAAAAAGGGATCTCCTTGCAAACCTGATCTGCGCTGTGTATCATATTTAATCAAATAGTGGAGTCACGTGATCGCTTCGACCCAAAAGACCGCATGCATCTAGCTCATCAGCCATGAGCTCATTGCTGGTGAGCATTAGATCTAACATCGACGATTATTCGCTGTTCTGTTGCTGGTGCGAGCTGCCAGAGAATAGCTCTTGAAGAGAGGTTTTGAACTATTCACTCGGTTGCTGCAGTTTCCATATAACGAAAGTTGAAATCTTGTGTAATGAGAATTTGGCCATGTCAAATTCGCCACAATACGTAAATGGTTAAGGTGGACGGAAAGCGAAAGCTACGACATGCTAACATTTCGAATGATATCCGCAGTCGCAACCGCAATAAATTTGGGAAATTAAATATAAAGCAACTGCGGAAATCTATTATGCTGCCCTGGTATAATAAAGTCTGACTGTAACAGAACCCACTCCGAATGCGAAGTAAGAACTCCACCGCGCTGCATTGAAAAACTGACAAAGGTGAGCAACCGAGATACAAAAATATCAAAAGATAAATAAACCCACCACATGAAAGGACATAGCCATGAATGGTGAGCGGTCTAGCTCTAAACGGCTGTGGTGCGTGCGTGCAACACAAGCACGTGACGGGAGAGTCACGAATGTCAGATTACCTAGCTCTGAGCGACTGTGAAGCGCGAGCCCGTCTAACACCTGGTCTTTGTAGCCTAAGGTTAATTTGCTCGTGTTTTTGTTCCATATGTACATACTTTATTTTCCAATGGTCCCGGGTTTGATGCCCGCTAAGTCTAGCAGATGAGATAACATCGAAACGCGTCATAGTAGTGTAGTGTTTTCGGGCGGGTAACACCCAATTTCTATTTGCATCAGCTACGGTCTTCGTGATTGAAATACCAAGGTTCACTTCGATGTGAATCGCGGTCAACATTGAGACTGCGCGTCGCAATCCATCTACACAAAGAGTACCTCAAAATGACTCTAACATTGTTCATTAAACCGTTGTGCAAGCGTTGCCCGTCGTGACCCGGTGGCTTAGAGGTAGCTGTCACAACTAACCTCACAATAGTCCCGGGTTCGATGCCTGCTAACTCTATCTGATAATTTGTAATAACATCGCAAAACTTCATAGTAATGCAGTGTTTCCGGGCGGGAAACAACCAATTTCTATTTGCTTCAGTTACGGTCCTAATGATCGATTTGACCAAGGTTCACTTCAGTTTGAATCACAGTCTAAATTGAGGTTGCGCGTCTCAGTTCAATAATACAAGTACTTCGAGATGACCCTCCAATCAGAAGAGCGTAGAAATTCTGGGCATGGCCTCTGACGGACAGTGTTAACTGCCGTGCACCTTTAAGTAGCGAAACACAAGCGTCAGAGCATGCGATTCGATTCGTTTGCAAGCGAATGACATATAGTGGATACCTGTGATAGAACCATTCATGTTTCCAGAATCCAGTATCGACCATACGGGTCACCAAGTTTAGGAAGCAAAGTAACATAAGGATGATAAAGATGGAAGCTGAAGTTCTACTTAAGTGGACGGGCAAGGGTAGTGTGCAACACAGCGTCAAATGGAAGGAAGTTACTTCTAAGTATAGCAAAGGTACGGAGCGCATCTTGCACACCAGGCTTGTCCGTGAAGCGTCCTTCATGCATATTGCATCACAAAGTGGCTACCAAATAGCTAATTGTAGCCCAGTTTGTTAACTATCCGGGGCCGGTTTGACAAGCCGTGACCTAACATATACCCAGAACATAGAATCTAAACAGTTTGGACATCAAGGAATAAGTTACCGGCTAGCCTGCAATTTAGGACCGTGCGTTTCTCTCCGGAGAGGCGGAGCACAATGAAATCAGCGAAACGACATGTCGTACAATGGGGCGTGTAACGGTGGCAGACTCACACAGGTTATTGGTCTTCAAAGCACACTGTAAAATGAAGCTGACATGTATGCAGCACTCACTCTCGAATGTGTATCTGACAAGATTGAAGATGGGGTTCAGGGATGAATGGAGATGATTCGATGAGGATTCACAGCGCACCAACCCACTGTAGTAAGGATTCAACGATTCATCAACTGTTACCAGTCAGCTCGCTGTGCATTACTGGGTGAACCGTGTTCGATTGTAACATGTATTGCTTATGAAGACAATGAGACTGTTGATAAAAACTTGGGAAACAGCATGAATATTATCGTTGTATGGGAAGAAGTGATTTCTGTTCCTCAAACGATCACAACGATTAGATGAACAAGCCTATGGCTAGGTGTAGATCCAAAGTCCATGTGACACACTTCGATAGAGCAACGATGTTTTGATGCAGCCATTAGTCTTATAAGTCCGTGGTTATCCTCAATTGATTTCATCCTAGTGAGAAGCGTGATACGGAAGCTGACTTTGAGTCAGTAGAGTCACCTAATTTAGAAGTTCAACAAGTTCGGGATAGCATACACCGAGTAACATCAATAGCCCAATACGAAGAACAGAACCCGTTTTTAATGCTAACAATAACGGCGAACAGAAGGCATAAATTGAATAGTGTTTAATGAGACTCAAACACTTGTAACGTGCAAATGTTATCCACGTGAGCATACTCAATGCGGCGAAGCTTCGACGGCCGATAACCAAGGTGTATACCCTATCTGATTCGGTGAAGTAAAGTCGACGTCTGTCATTTTAAGGATCGCAAAATGGTTGCGCATACTCCAGGATTGTACATGAGTTCCGCAATCCAGTCTGCAAGGAGGAGGCAAGATAGTTATTTAGGAAGAACGGTGCACAAGACTACAGGAGTGGGCACTGGCGTACAAATTGATTGCTCTTAAAGGCCGAGTTTACGGAGCCGCGAGAAGAGCAACCTCTTGTACGCTAGTTTCACATGATATCTTTGGTTTGAGTGTGTAGCTATCTTTGCCTGTGGAGGATTGCCAAGGTGGGATGAGGATAAAGTGATCGAAACGATGAGCGTATAGATGATTGCTGAACACCGGTGATCAAGCTAGCTAGTCAGATTGATAAATACCACGGAATAAATTGCGCTCATTCTGCCGCGCGCTTTATATGCTTACTCGTAGAGAAGAGTTTGTCACATTCACAATACTACAAAGGTCGAGTGAGGCAATCATCAGCCGCGGAGCGTTGTAAGCACTGACCACACTATTGGACGCGGTCGGCGCGTTTCACCATCCCGTAGAGATGGACCACGCGATCCACCCCGTACTTGGCTGGAGACACTATAGGATTGTCGGTAAGACATCATTGTTGAGTTCACTACTGTTTCCTGACCAGATTACCTGTACAAAGTTATTTGTGGGATAAGCTTGAGCAAGAAGCGGGGCGTTGCGTTCACACCGCCTTATACTAACAAAAATACCAGTTATTCGTGACGGCGGATTGTGTGTAAGAGGCGCGCGACTTGACTCTGAAGGTTTGCATAGAGGAATTCGGTACCCAATAAGGTTCTCCTCTCCTCATCAATCGCATGGCAGTACGACAAGGAAGTATCCGCCCAAAGTGCTAATGCATTGCTGTTCAATTACCAACAGAGATAGACAAGGCGAGATACACAGTAATACAGATGTGATCCCACTTCAATGTACTTTACCAAGCGATTTTATTTCTGTTGTGCTCATTTCATTTCACTGTCGCTATATTGTATCTGCGTGATGACACGAAGTAGGATAACTAGAGCCACTAAACATGGAGAATGAAGCATTGATTTGCAACGGAACGTGGTCCCACCGAAGAAGACGACATGTAGTGCAATGTATGGATAAAATAGAATTGCATCAAAAGGAACGAGAGAAGCGGGTATCCAACATTTATTGCAACAGAGGCTTTAAAATGAATATGATACGCCAAGAAAGAAGTTCAAAAGCGGTGGGACGGTTACTGTGTTTGTAAGATGAAGAGAGAATGACGGAGTACGAGTTCAATGAATCACAGACGGCGAGGAGCGCTGGAGGAGGACCGCGTATTATTCCGTGGAGGTCGACGGGACCTGTGTGCTTCGTCCGTTATCCAATTGTGAACTCTAAGAGGACGGAAATTATATCATCCGTCAGAGGGACACCATTAAATGTAACATACAAGCGCAGAGCACCTATGGATCAGAAAGTTCAGTAAACCCAATGAGAATTCATATAAACAAGTCGGAAATTATCCACGGGCAGAAGAAGGTGAAGTATTGAGCGGCGTTGTGGTTTGGAAGTAAAAGGGATGGTAGTCAAGTGGGCGGTGAGTTAAGAGGAAGGCAATCGTCGGATGAAGACTTCATAAGAAACTCCCATGCTAGTAGGAGTAGCGAAAGATGAGATGACGTCAATGCAGAGCGGGTATACATGTGCGCGAGTAAATGTGTTTAGATGTAAGTGTTTTGGATGTAAGTGGTCAGAAATACCTATAAAGTTTTCAGTGTACTACCAAATGCAAACTGCGATGAATTCCACATAGAAATACTGCGATAGAAGAGGATGGAACGGACAATCGGACCGAGGAGTACAATCCTGTTGTCCTTTCAAAGCGTAACAATACCGCCAGGAAAGGTATTACCAAGTGAGTGGAATGGCCCGGTATGTTTCAGGCTGGCGACCGAATACCAAGCAACGTCGGACACCAACATTAACTGAAGAGCGGAATGATCAACATCGACAAGAAGAGTATGGACAGCTGGCGTACACAGAAACATGTGAAGGAGTTAGAGAGGGAGGTTGCGGGATACCCATTAAAAACCAAGAACACGCGAAAATGACCAGGTAAAATGAGGGTGTACTGAGTCAATAAAACGGCCATTCAGTGCTTATATCGGTGTTTGTTGGTGGTCTAAAGCAGTGGTGTGGTGACTGTTCCAGTTAACCCATCTCAAGCAAACTCCAAGTACTCTCGCGTGAAAAGCGCTCGGCTGAACGTGGCCAATAACTGATGACATTGTGAAGGAGAAAACCGCCAAGGGGCAAGTCTTACTCTCTGATTGGCAGCAATGTGCAGCAATAAAGCTGGGCCACAAACTGCTTTAGACCACAGTTTATCGTGACCTTGTAGTTACAGCAGTGAGATTCAGTGCGGACGAGTCTTGAATGAGGAAGCATTTGTCCAAAACACTGTGTGGTGCTTGGTGGACGTATAGCTAACTGTTAAAACGCGTCCTAGTAGTCGGAACGGACTAAGCCAATCAAAGATAGTACACCATGCGCGCAGAGTAGCCAATGGAAATCGAAAGGTTGCGAGCTAACGTGACTTGGCTGTCAGATGTACACGGGAGCTGAGAGTAGAGAGGAAAACGCGTAACCCAGCACGATCGTAGTGAGACTCAAACGAGAAAGACTGGCAGATAGCAAGGTTTTTTTTGCCGACTTAACCAAGGCGAATCCTGCCTTCTACACTTTCATATTTAGAGCTCAAAAGAGTAGCAGTGTAGTGCATAAACTATAGAGGAAGATAGATGCTAGCAAGACACATGAATTGTCATTCAGTCCTGAGGGAAGCTCAGTGTCAGTGTGGCTTTGTGTATTAACTGCCGCAGTGTACTGAGGAGAAATCAAAGGGTTCACTGAGGCTTGACACTATAGATACGTTAGTGTCAGGAGAGGAGTTCAGTGGGTTCACTGCGGCCTGACATGATAGGCACATTAGTAGCACAAGGAGAGTTCAATGGTAAACGACCGGTTAATGTATTTATGATGATACACAACGTTTCGCATTTGACACAAATGCTTCATCAGGTCCGATGATGATGGCCTGATGAAGCATTTGTGTCAAATGCGAAACGTTGTGTATCATCATAAATACATTAACCGGTCGTTTACCAAGTTTTCTGAAATGATGACTTCCCGATCGGTTCCAAATATGTTCCAAGATATTGAGAGTTCAATGGGTTCACTGCAGCTTGCACACTAGATATAGCAGTGTCCTGAGTATAGCTTAGCTACTTCAGTGTGGCTTGGCGTCAATATCCTGGGGACGGCTCGGTTGTTACTTGCACAGTCTGAATCGTCGCAAAGTGATAGTATGTCTGAGATAAGCCAGGCGAAAGCAGCGTAAGTTTCGTAGAGCGTTGTGAGTTCCGCAACACCAAGCGAGCACTAATATGTCAAAAAAGATGCAGTAGTTCATGATTGAGATGAACAGTACATGGCACTAAAGTGGTAGGAAGAGAGGGTCCACTTTGCGATGCAATGAAGATGGACACAAAGTTCTGGTGCAAAGTGTCTGGAGATAAGCGGTTGGATAATCACCTGCTTATAGCAACAACGACCGTTCCCAACGCTAAATGGATAACTTTGTGGGGCCACGCAAACAGGTTAAGATAAGACAGATTTCACATACTTTTCTCAAGCGATAAGATGGCGGAAATTGGTGAAGGGTTGACAAACAGAGAAAGGGATAAATTTCTTTATCTAAGTTCAGCTAAAGTGTGCATCCCTAGAGCGCGACCGCATCAATGAAGAGTGTTCCGAAGCAAACGGAGCAATCGATGCGTAAGTGAAGCCTTGATTACTGTCTTGAAACTCGGGTGTAACGGTAATAGTGCATAAGTACATAGTAGGCACCAGGTGGATGTTCCCGGAAGTAATATCGTTGTTGCGACATTTAAGAGAGCGCAAGCAGTCAGAAAATGATTGACGAAAGGCACGAGAAGTAGGGAGCATAGACGATTGACATATGGTGGAGGTATCATATGCGATTCGGATTGGAGGGTTTGCGCACATACCGAATCAGTCTAAGAAGCCTAACAGTGTGCTGCTTTGAAGATATCCTGGCGACGGTATGAGGTGAAGGTATGTACGGGTCAGATGTCAGTACCGATACATAACAAATGAATGTAGGCGTCGCTTGGAGGTGATAACACGTTGTGTAGAGACCTCATGGCAGCGGACCCTATTCACCCATCTGCAAGCTAACGAGCTGTATTGAGTAGGAGCTGAAGTGAGATGCGTAATAAACAGATAAGGGACAGTAGTGAGCTCCGATTATGTAGGGTTACATGCTTTTATTTACCCGGCTAAACCCATCGTTTAGGCATGCGTTGCATCGGAGGCAGCAATTCCACTAATCCGCGAACGACCTCCTTGAGATTGCAAGCCGCACTTTTGTTTGAAACTGTCAAACGCTGTTCTTATATTTCTTCCTAGTTCGCATCCGTATACGGCCTCCAAGCTATCGTGCGGTTTGCTCATTAGTCCTATACTACTGACGTGTGGTGAAGTAATAAGTAATAAATTGTATAATTCTCCACAATGCGGGGCACGGTCCAGTGGTCTGATCATTATGTACAGCGGGATCACGTGGAACGGTTAACGGAAAAGAGCGCACAAGAAGATTGTGCACATAGAAACGTGCTGGTTTGATCGCCTGACACATACTCGATTGTCCTACGGGTCAAAACCCCTGTGATTCATTCATAATACTCAACAGACTGCATTGTGGGCTTACTGCAATTTGTCGAAACCTCAGCGATTCGGCAGCTCGAACGCATTTAGTGTGAATAGACTACGTTTTTGGCTGGCTTTGCCTTACCTTGGTGAGGTTGGTTGAACTCTGGCCGGCATCAAATGACGTACGGTAGCCAATGTTTAGCCAATGATATTGCTCTTTGATTGACACTGCGTGTGCAGACGAATTGCTCCAGTTGTTTGTAAACCGTTGACGGGAATGTGATATAACCGATTCCAGCAAACAAATGGATTGTGATCCTTTCCTGTCATTTCTAAATTTGCGGTGATGAAATATTGCGTGAGACGCTTCACTGATTTCCAAATAATGGTGCGCATTAAACTTTAGCACATATTGCTATTTCTTTTTGAAGCGTTATCCACAAGATGGAAGGGCATCATAATCTTCGTTATACACGTTAGCTAGATGTGAAAAACACTTCAGCTAGTGTGCCGCAATACATTAGAAAAGGAAGAGGAAATGCAATGACACGTTGCCTGAGTCACTGGTTACGGATGGACACCGTCTCGGGAAGGGTACAGCAGGCTATTCTGCCGCAAAAAGAAGTGTTATATTATGCATATGAATTGAGATTATGGTTAGAAAGATAAGCTAAGCGGGAGGGAGAAGAACTAAGAAACTCACAACACAAAGGCCGCTGAACTTGGCTCCTAACCATGTCAACATGTGCATACACCCAAACGTGTTCATCGTCATTCGGACCCCAACCGGGGAGCCGAGACACGCTAACCGAGGCGAATTTCTAACTAAGGCCCTTCATTCATCTCGATCAAGTCATAGCTCGGCCACCTCTTTTTCCGTCCACACTTTCAACACGCAACCAACGTACGTAGCGGGAGTCGGTGGGCTGGCATGCGCAACACGTGGCCCAGCCATCGGAACCTGGTGCGTGGAATAACAGTGCTGAGCTGCTCATTTCCTCTTCCTGAGCCATAAACAAGGCGTCGAACATACAGATTACTCACCCCGTGTTCTCACCAGATATGAATCGAAACAGCGAACGCACTGGTGGTCTGACGTAAGTAGTCAGTTTACACCTGCCGATCTAACGGGCCAGGTTTCACACTCGTACAGTAGAGTCGAACGTACGGCTGCAGTGTACACTCCACACTTCAGGGAGAGAGAGATGTTGAGCAGGCGAGATAGTTGGCCGAGAATTGACATACTTGCACTTTGAATACCTCGCTCGGGATGGAAGTGTTATTTGGAGATGCAGACATATCGATCTATGAAGCGCCACTCACTGATCGAGATGACAATATCATACAATAACGACTGGTCCTCAAAAAGCACAAGTCAATGCTATCAAAATCGAAATGACGCTAGACAAGAGATTACTTATTGCTAAACCTCGCACAGTAATGAGAAAAGTGTTTTCAACGTTGAGTAACGAAGTAACGGCCCATATGTCTAAGCAATCATCCTTTGCGAGAACTCTTCTAAATCACAGAGAAAGCGGTCATTTACCTTGTCTAAAACTAAACATTTCCATATCCCGGAGAAGTACTGCGAACTGGTGCTTCCTGAATCGAGTGTGCATAATCCAGACAGAATTCCTGCATCAGGTGATAAAAAACTGTT